CATTTAGGAATGACTGGAAACTTCATCCCGTAGCTAATAGATAACTCCGTTTTATAGCATTTCTTTGCCCTATTCCTTTATATGTAATATTATTTATATGTGATATTATTTATTTCTATGTGAATCATTTTATGGAATGAAGCATCGTGACTAATGTCATGCTGCTTGACAATATCGTTTTTGACAATTTTCTGTTTTTAATTTAGTACATAATTAAACATTATTAAAATTTGCGGAGATCTAGTTCATCGTGTTTTCACTTAGATCGTTTTTTAAATAGGAAAAAAAAAAATTGAAAAATACACAGAAAACTGATATAAGTAAATTTGATTGTTCTAAGAATAATATATATTTAATAACAAATTTATAACATTATTTATTATTGTTATTTCAAAATACCTATGTATATAAAGAAACTGACATTTTCTTTTCTTTCTTCTGTGCAAGAAAATAGTCCGCAAATTTTAAAACATTTGAGGCTATTTCTGTAGAAATTTTCTACAATTTATACATAATTTAATATAAGAATTTTTCATCAGAATCGTGTTTTACTTGTATTTTTCTAGTAGAAAATTTCTACGATTTAACCGTTTAAATGTTGAGAATCAAAAGAAAAAGAAAAGTACAATACTTGCATGCAAATGAAAATTGCTAGTTCGGAAAACCTAGCAACAACTCGATTAATTTGAGATTTAATTGCAGGTGGAGTAGAAGACATGGGCACGGTGTATCAGGAGGTACACAACGTGATGTGATCGATTATCGTACTGGTTACATAAAATCACATCTTCGTTCACCATCAGGACGAGTTCGGTGACTAGGTGTACTATCATTTCAATCACAGATAGAATTGATTTGCCGAAGAAATTATTTGTGGACCTTCAAGAATCATCAAATTTTAGTCTGAAAGAAAGTTCAAAAAAAAAAAAAAAAAAAGATGCCGAAAGCAATGTCGGATTTTGTCCTACAATTATAATTGCTTCAATTTCTTTACATTCTTGATTGATCGAAATAATTATTTTAATTTGTGCCATTTTAAAAGTCGAATAATTTTTTGAGGAAGAAATTGTTAAATTTTCTCTTTCAATGACTTTCAGACAAATATATTTATTTTTTTCTTTATTAAAAATTCTAAATCAAGTAATTTTAAATAAAAGTTACGAGTATAAGTGAATGGATCCAAACTGATAAGAGATTTTGTTGAAGTAATAAATATATATTTTGTATTTGATGAAACAATTTTTTTTAGAAATTATAACTATAAAAAGTTATTTGCAATTGTTGTTTCCAATATTATTATTAAAGTTATTCAATTTCTTCATATTTTTTCATAAAATTTGCTATATTTAGTGCTTATATTTATTGCTATTATTAATAAATATGAAACTTCTATATTATTAATAATGGTTGGATAAATAATTTGATTTTATATTTTACGTACTAACATTAAAAAATAGTATCTTATTTACAGAATTTTTATTTACATTTTATTTACAGAATTTTCAACAAATTCATAACATAATTTTCTAATATATATCATTATTGCTTACAAATCAATTACGTAGATATCAAAAATTGTCTATTTACATGTTATAAACAATTTAGATAATCCATTTAATCTCTATGTAGTAGCACACGTTTATATCATACCTTAAAAAAGATTAATGAGATTTTTTTTTTTATGTACGCTTCATATTATAAAATTTAAATATTTTAAAATATTTTTTTTATTTTAAAATCTATTTTCTTAACTTAAACAATAATTGCTTTATGTGTGATAATGTATAGTATATTATTAAGAAAATAGATCTTTAAAAAACAAAAAAAATATATATGTAAAAAAATATACAATAACTTAATGGAATAATATAATAATAATAAGAGTATATAATAAAATATATTTTTTTTAACAAATGTATGAAATGTAAAAATTTTTTTGTTTAAAATATATTCATTTTGTTATTGATATCAGTTACGAATATTTGGAAAAAAACAAATTGTAATTTTGTTATTAAGGTTTTGTTATTAAAGCTTGTTATTTCATATTGGTTTGGATTCATAATTTTTGTAAAATATAAATGTTTATCTGTTTGATATGGATCATACTAAGTGAATCATATTGCACATATTGTATATATGGGATCATCTAAATATCTACGATGATTTGAGAGATGCGTAAAAAAGGCATAAAAATTCACCTTTAAAAATTTTTTAATATTTTTAAAATAGAATATTTTCAGATTAAACAATCAAAATAAAGTCGGAATCAGATACTAATATCATTGAAAATCAAAAAATATTAATTTAAAATCAGTTTAAAAATATACCGATGTCCTTAAAATATCTTAAAACATAATATTTAGAAAAATGGTTCTTTCGTTAAAATGAAATGGTTCTTAATTAAAAATATTTACGTGATCCCATTGAAGTGATCTACCTACCTTATATTACATCTATTTAGTACATGTAATATAAATTTGTAATATAAATTTTATATACAGAAAATAAGATTAGCACATAACAAGATTTAGGCAAATTTAGGCATAAAAGACAAATCTTAATTTGAAAGAGAAAATAAAGCAATGTTTCTATACATTTCCTTACATTCTTTTCTTAAAAATTAATTTTATTTTTTTTTGCATTAAATATAGAACAGAAATTTAAATTACAATTGCATTTAATGAGTTAAAAGACTATTTATCTATTATCAATTATGTTACTATTAATTTATCTATTATCAATTATGTTATTATTAATCCATGCTGAAACAATATAATCAAAAGAAAAAAACAATAGTGATAGACAATATTCGTAATTTCTGCAAGGAAGTTTATCGTCATATTTTTTCAAATAAATGTTTTGAATAAATTCAGAGAAGCAATTATAATTTTGTATTTGTAATTAAATTTAATTCATATTCTTGAATTTATTACTTTAAATGTTTAAATTTAATTACGGATTATAAATAATATTTCAAATATCAAAAAGTAATCCTTTAATTTATATTTATTGTTACTGACTGTACTATAAAGTAGTTAAAAATCAAAGTTAAATACTTCAACTTTAACACAAATTCTTTTACACATTTTACTTGTTCTTTATCTCTATAAATTCTTTTAAATATTTTTAAATATATAGTTATTTTTAAATAACAAGTCTCATTTTTTTACTAGAATTTTTCCATCAGTATTAACACTATAAACAACATTAATCTACAAATACATGATTTATATGTATACTATAAAGACAATCAAATATCATAGCAATGGATAAAAATGAATAAAATAGGCAAAAAGAGTTTTTCGTTGAATTAGATGTTTGTAATTATCTTGCGGTCTTATATGAAGTTGTTATCTTATTATACATATGTATGTATAATGTTACTTTCTTATCTAACTTAATATTTTAATCTTAATTGACTAAGTAAAATATAAAAAGAATTATCAAAATTCTTTATCAAAGTGTTCTTATCAACAAATAATATTGCCAATTTTTCTTTTACGCAGTAAGAAATTAGAATATTCGCTCAATTAAATTATGCATACATTATGTATAATATATCAGTTAGTCAGTCAATTTGTAGTATGGATATATTTGAATTTTACTTCCATATAAGAATTGCTATATGACTAGAAATAAAAAGCCACATAAATTTGTATTTTATCATATAACTTTGTAATTTTATTTAGGATCAGCATACAAGTATGAATATATGTACTTAAACTGATATATGTCAGATGACTACTAGTATGTATTATCACTCATCACTTATTACATTGTACATTGCAATTCTATTAATATCCATTTCCTAAAACATTTCATTTTGTTAACTCAAGTAAAATCTATAAATTTGGGAAATTTTTAAACTTTTATAACAAATCAACTTAAATCGCATTTTTATCACATTTTTCGTCTTTTAAATAATTAAATCTCTGTTGTAAAACAATATACAGTTATAATATTAACAATATATGTAGCAGTGTATATTACATTTTGATGAAGTTTAAACAATGCTCTTATGTTATTTTCAATTTTTGATGTGAACATAAATTCATTATAAAAGAAAAACTTCTGTTTCGTGTTGTTATCAGCTTATTTGATGAGTATGTGAAAGCATATAATAATGCTTAAGGTAATAAATGATGGAAAGTTAAATTACATACAGATTTCAATTGATGTGTTATATACATATATTCTGTACTATCAGTACAAGTAACTTATAAAAACTTATTTTCGTACTTGAAATAATTGATTCATTGTCCAATTTCAGTATTGTAGGTAAGAATGCATGATTTATGCAAGATGTTCCGAAATACTCAATCTTTATATTTTGATTTATTAACAAGCGTTATTTTTATAACAAAGTTGTAAAAATTTGTTATAATTGTCAACAAATATGTACAAATGTATAAGCAATTGTCATCGTTACTTGTTTATTTCCATATTATTATACATTATACATTTAGCTCAAATAGAATACTCTCTAACTGTATGACGCATATGGTCAATTATATACAAATCATTAAACGTTGTACTTACATAAAGAAATATATATAATTGTTAGAGTATTTATTACATATATGTATATACATCATAGCTTTAGTTAATTTAAAATTAATATTCAAAGAATTACAACTATCACGTTATGTCAATAAAAATGTTTAATTTATTAGAACATAGTGATATTAATACCTAATTTTAGAAATAGTTGCAAATATTTTAGCATTTCACATAGATCTGTTATACTCAATAATTATACTTAGCATCGAACTACTTATTTTTGCGAAGTGGATGGATCGGATGCTGGTCCATAGACACTTCAGGCGGATTCTTCTCGCAATAACTAAGTACTCGCATACCTTCTTCAGCGATTTCCCATAATTCTGGATGTTTCTGTTTAAAATTATTGTACCATTTTTCTACGTAAGGCCATGCATTTAATTTGAAATCGATCGCTTCTAGACACATGGTTGCAGTGATTAAAGGGAAATCGGCAATAGTCAGCGTATCTGTTAAATATATGTAATAATTAAATTACACTTGCAACAATACAAGTGATATGAAGTGAAGAATACAAAAGTATCTTTTTTTATAAGATATACGGTATAATAAACATTCTATTCGTTTTTACATTTAAGGAAATTAAATCTTACTTGTCGATTAAATATAACTTAAATATAACTTAATTATTTCACAAGTTTCTGTAACTGTTATGATAATCTTTATAGCTTATAGAAAACTTTCATATTAAAGCTCAGGGTACTTACTACTCGCAGCATATTCTGTATTCTCACGTTGTAAATATGTGTTAAAAACGTCTAATGCTATTGTCATTTTTTTCAAACCCAGAGGGGTTCTTTTATAATCATAGAACATAGGAGCCACCTGTACAAATATTTTAAAATAAAGTGAAAATTTGTTCAAACATGTTATACAGTAATTGGCGACGAACTCCATATTTTTAATACAATTACATTTATAATATTTTCAAGAATTTATTTTTCGCATGTTCACATTTTTTTATTCTTTATAATAGTTTGTTAGAATTTTTATATAGATCGAATTGTATAAATTTTACATGTATATAATTTAATATTGTATTTATTATACCCACCACATATTCAGCAATACTACGATAATACATAGCCAAATTAAAGCACAATCGATGATTAACTATTGCCCGGGCTTTTGGTACCTTCGGATATAGCTTTCCGGTTGTGTCATATTTGTCCCCAAGGTATTGTAAAATAGCATTACTAATATTATGTGTATTGAAACCAAAAGAAATTTATTTATTATTTTAATATTTGTACGTTATAAAAGATTATTATACCTATTATTAATAGATATAATGTTATTTTAATTTACATGACAACAATCATTTTATTCTATTTTAATCAAAGTTCTTTCCTCTATCAAAGTAAATAAAATAATTTAAGTTAATTCATACCTTTCTCCCATTATAAGATCATCGTCGATTAATACAGGTATCTCTTTTTGTGGGTTTAACTAGAAAAGTGATTATATGTATTAAAAAATATATTAGTAATGTTTCAAGTAGACTTTAAACTTACAAAATATGATAAACTAATATACCACTGATATAAACATACTTACTTGTGCATATTCATTTGTCATGTGTTCTCCTTTGTTAAAATTCACGTCAACTAATTCGTACTGAATATTTAAAGCTTTTAAAGCTTGGCGGCAGGCAAGGGACGGTGGACCATCGACAACGCTATAGAGCTTCATTATTGGCTTGAAAGGAAGAATATTTAATTTACAATGAACATAAAAAATGCTAATGTATAATAATTTATTTCTATAATTTTTATTAATAATATATTTATTATTATCAGATAAAGCTTCCGAGTATAGGCCGTGACCAAGAAGAACTGTTATAACATTCACTGTTCGCTAACATCGCAGCTAGCTTTATCAAATAGATAACTGCAATGTCTTATCTAATCTCGGCAAAATTATCGGTCAAAAAATTACATCATCTGAATTGATTCTATTAATGCGTTTCTTGATTCTTAATGAAGTGTCAATGTTAACGAAACATTGGGATACATCCCTTTAGTTCTGGCATTTTATTGTATTTAAATGTTGATTTTACAAAATTAAAATTAAAATATTAACTAATAATTTCTCGACATATAAAGAATGTCGAGCTGTATCGATCAATGGATCAAAAAATATAATAATTGTATAATATATTATTGTACTTGAAAAAGTAGAAATGACCTTGAAATCTCTGAAAAACTCTTCCATCTACAAAAAAATTGTTACTACCGTATTATGTGTCGAACAACTTTTATTAATAAACTTCTCTTATGTTTGCAAAAATAACGTAGATATTCAAGTAATTTTTATTGAAGATCACTCTGTATGACTAATTGAAGTTCATATAATAAAAGTTCATTGATCCTCTTCTTTATTAATAAGTTTTTGTTTATATAACAGGAGTTCAAATTTAAATAAATGAATTCAAGAGTCCATTTAATCGGATATTGATTAAAATTTCGTTCAAATAAGTGGAGATTTGCATTGTTTCCAGGATGAAATTAAGAAATTATATAGAAGGATGAAACTGGAAGAATAATTGTAATCATTTAATAGCATAGTTAATATAATTATTATTTTTTTTAATATAATTTAATAAGAAGATACAATTAATATATTTATAATAAGATAAGATAAAGATAAATGCTGGAACAAGATAGGAGCAATATATTATGAGCAACAATAGATGGTAATAAATAGTAAATAAAATATAAATTCATAATTAAAATAGAATGCTGAAGTACATATTAAGAAATAATGCAGTGTACTGCTCATTAAGAAATAATGTTATAAAAATTCTAGAAACAAGTCTATTTCTGTTATTAGCTTATTAATGATATTTCTATTATAAATTCTTGTTACCATTAAAATTCTAGCATTTACTACAGCATTCTATGTTTTTATAATGATAATTACTATAAAACAAGCTTATTCCTTTTTTCTTATTGTATTTGGGAAATCATGTAATAATACATTATTATAACGTATAATATAATAATCTTGAAAGTGATATTTAATTCCACATTTAATTTCCTAATTAATTTCTTATCTATTTAACAAAATTTATAAAATTCTTAAATAAAAATTTAATATTATTTTACCTTTTTTAAATGAAGTCTTGTTATAATTCTATTGATTATATTTATACGTAAAAATAAAAAATTAAAATGATGTGGAACATTATAAATTTTATAAAAATAATACTCACTCAAAGAGGATCACAGTCTATAATTTAATAAAGTGTTGTATAATGTTCACAACGAATCTGAGCCTGGGACTATACTGACATTTCATGAATACCTGTTAGTGCAAATACCTTTCACTTTTCCTGTTTTTCAAGGTTTTAATGTTGGTCTGTACTATAAAGTAGTGTACAATAGTGTATAGTGTTTTATATATGCTAATCTACTTTCAGTAAATATTTAGCCAAAGTATATAAATTTTTTATTTGCAATAATTCATCATAACTTCATATTTTTTACAATATTTGTTTATTAATCGACAACAACATAATAAGTTGATAATATCTGACTATCATTTTTGATAAATTATTAAGTTATTTGTATAAAAATTATTGCTATATTATTTTTCATTAATTAATATATCCATAAGTTATAAAAAATACTGTAAAAATAGATATGCTTTATTTCTGTGATAATTTAATGCTATCAATTATGAATTTAATTACATATTTGATTATTAATTGTAAAAAGCAACTAAATTTACTGAATGTTAAATATTGCTATAATTGTATTAAAAAAACAAATAATTAACGTTTTTAACTTTAAATTTAACTTTAAGTTTCGAACTTCTGACCCTTTAATAACATGAATCGTTGATGAAATTTAGAGGATGTTATGTAGTAAGTAAAAATCTCAAGCTTCGAGGATTCATTCGTTCGGAAAATACAATTTTATGAAACCTACTGTAGTCCTATCCTTCTTTGTCTTTCATATTTTTTATAAAAGTCTTTCTTTGTCTTTTATAAAATTGTAAGATCTATATCTTCTGAATAGGAGAATTTCCAAATTATGATCTTATATTTAGAATCTTCTAAAATTCGAATTCTATAATCTTCACATCGCATTTCGATCGGCGACGGAACCATTAGTCATTTTTTTTCAAAAAGGATGATATTTTCTAGCCTGATATATAAATGCATACCTATAAGTTAAAAAGATTTTTCAGGCAACATAGAAATATATAACAGAAGTTATGATTAACTTAGTTCTATTAGAAATAACCAATCATTCAAATTTTTCCGCCTTTTTCTGAGCAATGTTTCATTAATCTCTATATCTGTTCATATACATTGAATAGATCTTTATGATCCATAATAAAACGAAAATAATTTATTTCTATAAAATTTTGTTTTACTTTCGAAACCTAACTGTTGATTCTCTTTTAGCTATCTTGATTGGTTCTAACCTAGGGACTTAGACTTTCTAATAATACCGATAATAATTACAATTGGTTCCTTTCAGAAAGCTATTTAAAAAATTTCGTATAGGTATATCGTTTATGTGCGACAGCCATCACTTTTCAGTTTACCACATGGGTGAAACGTGCTCGAATATTGTGTTATATTGATATAAACATTTAGTTTATTAAATATGTCAATACCTGATAAAGTGTTGATGCGAAAAATTAAGAAGAAAGAAAAAAAAAAGTTTGAAGTACTGAAAGAACGAGAAAAACAAATACAAAATGGTAAATGTAATCATTGATTATTGTTGTATATTATAACCTATTTTTTGGCATTAACTGTTAATTTTTGTATTATGGTAGATGAAACCATAATTGAGGATATAGAAAATGACAGTCAAGAAAATGATACAGTAAATGGACTAAAACGACATCATATAGAAAAAAATATGTCAGTAAAAAGTAAGTTAAAGTTTATAATTGAGATTATATCTTTTATTATTATTAATTTATTACTACTTTAATTTATTATTAATTTATTACTATTTTAATAATTATCAAAACTGCTTTGTAGTGAAATTTAGTAAACTATATTTGCCTTGTAACATGTAGTTATGTTGTATTACAGAGAAAAGAAAGAAAGTAGAAAATGATCAAATATCAGAAGAAAATAATACTAACAATACAGTTGCAGATTGTAAGTATAGTAACAAATTTTCATTCATCTTTTGTTTATTTCAAAACAATCATTCACTAATGATGGTGATATAAAATTTTTCTTTTTTGCTTTAATTTTTTAAAATTTCTAATTTTTCTTTTAATTTATTCATTCGTTTTTAATATTTATTGTCCATTTTGTAGTACCTGGATCTGCAATGGGTTTGAAGGTAGTAAATGATACAAGTTTTAAGATATTAAAAGAAATAGTTTGCGAAAATACATTGAAAGGAATAGAAGACATGGGTTTTACAAATATGACGGAAATACAAGCAAAAGCTATTCCTCCTTTATTAGAAGGAAGAGATTTAGTTGGTTCTGCAAAAACTGGATCTGGGAAAACTTTAGCATTTTTAATACCAGCTATTGAATTAATTTATAAATTAAAATTTATGCCTCGTAATGGTATGTTAACGACATAGATGCGTTGAATGCAAATATTTTATTACATTTTTATTTGTAGGTACTGGTTGTATTATTATATCTCCAACACGAGAATTATCTATGCAAACTTTTGGAGTTCTAAAAGAATTAATGAAATATCATTACCATACATATGGTTTATTGATGGGAGGTGCTAATAGACAAACTGAGGCTCAAAAACTTGCAAAAGGAATTAATATTATCGTAGCTACACCTGGTAGATTATTGGATCATCTACAAAATACAGCAGACTTTTTGTATAAAAATCTTCAGTGTCTAATAATTGATGAAGCTGATCGTATTTTAGACATTGGTTTTGAAGAAGAACTTAAGCAAATTATTAACATTTTACCAAGTTAGTATAACATATTTTATATTTTTAAATAATATGTAAATTGCTAAAAAATGTAAAATATATAATTGCTTTAATATAAAATATATGTAATTGCTAAAATATAAAAAATATATAATTGCTATATATTTCTTATAGAAAAAAGACAAACAATGTTGTTTAGTGCAACACAAACCAAAAAAACAGAAATGTTGACAACTTTGGCTTTAAAAAAAGAACCAGTTTATGTTGGTGTTGATGATGATAAAGAAAAGGCAACAGTGGAAGGTTTAGAACAAGGTTATGTTGTATGCCCCAGTGAAAAGAGATTTTTACTTTTATTTACTTTCTTGAAGAAGAATAGAAAGAAAAAAGTTATGGTTTTCTTCAGTTCATGCATGTCAGTCAAATACCATCACGAACTTTTAAATTACATTGATTTACCAGTATTAAGTATACATGTATGGTCTATAGTGTGAAAAGTGTGTAATTACTTTGAATGTGACATTTTTATATCATATATTTTAATTAATAGGGAAAACAAAAACAGGCTAAGAGAACAACAACATTTTTCCAATTTTGCAATGCATCTTCTGGTATACTCCTCTGTACTGATGTAGCTGCACGTGGTCTTGATATACCAGCTGTTGATTGGATTGTACAATATGATCCTCCAGATGATCCTAAAGTAAATTTTTTATAACATATAACTTTTAAGTTAGATTTTATATATATATATATATATAAAATATAAATCCAAATATATGTATCTAATATATCTAAATCTAATATTCTGTATAATTCAAATGTAATGGGATATAGAAATTGCTAAATTAATAGTGAACATAATAACTATTTTAGGAATTATTTATTTTATTTATTTTAGGAATATATTCATCGTGTTGGTAGAACAGCTCGAGGAGAAGGTAGTAGTGGTCATGCTTTATTAATTTTAAGGCCAGAAGAACTTGGTTTTCTTCGTTATCTTAAACAGGCTAGAGTACCTGTGAACGAATTTGATTTTTCATGGAATAAAATTGCTGATATTCAATTACAGGTAAATACAATATTTCTGTTGATACATTGAATTAATTAAATTCCTTTTGTTATCATATTAATGTTTGCTTTAGCTTGAAAAATTAGTTTTGAAGAATTATTTTTTAAATATGTCAGCAAAAGAAGCATTCAAAGCATATGTGAGAGCATATGATTCTCATCACTTGAAACAAATTTTTGATATTGAAACCTTGGACTTAGCAAAGGTTGCAAAATCTTTTGGATTCCTGGTTCCACCAGCTGTAGATTTGAGTATCCTTTTTTATGCTATATTATTGAAAATTTAATACTATTTGATGTTATTATATTTAATATTATTTACTTTTATTTAATTTTTTGTATAATGCATATATTTCTTATTATATGTATTACATATATTATACAGAAAATTAAACTTTAATTGCGTTCCATCTTTATTTTTGGAATATATAGTACATCTTTTATTTATTGTTTATGTATTTTTTTTTAATTATTTTGTTTTTATATCACTAATATTATAGAAATATTGTTTCCTTAATATTATCGTAGAAGTGGGAGTAAGTAAAAATTCACGGCCACGAAAAAGATTAGGTGGGCATGGTTACGATTTTAAATTTAAATCACGATCTAAATTTTAAGTTTATTGTTTTATATAAAATATAAAATACAGTTTAGCTTTTGATGAAGAAATAGTACTGAATTGAAAATTATATATTGTACAAAATGCAAGATTTGTATAAATTCATAAAGAAATTATAAAATTTATAAAGAAAACATATATGAATACTTATTTTATGGAATAAATGAGATATTATAATTATATAATTATAATTTATAGCTATAATAAATGGAAACAAGAAAATTAATTTATTTGAGACAAAATTTGATTCATCCTATAAGAATTTATTTCATACTATACCAGAAAATTGTAATTATATGTATTATCTTTATTTTCTATTTTTGTGAAAGAAAGATGATTAACATGGTAACTAATTAACTTATAATATGTAGAACAATCCTAGAACAAAAATTGAAAATGTTTCATATTTTAATACTTATATTGTAGTATATTGGAAATACTTCATATGTGATATTTATTGATACTAATTTATTAATTTAAAAATAACGAAAGATCATATACAATATATAAATTATATAGTTAGTGCATATTATAAATTGAACAATATACTTCTAATTGTATATTGCTTGTCATTTCTTATAAAAAAAAAAAGAAAAAAGAATTAGAAAGTTCTACTGATCAGTGAGAAATGACAAGAGATACTTTATAATGTATAACACCCACGCTATTTCTCAGTAGGACCATGTATGGCACATGCTGTATGACGTCAACGTTACTTTATATTAACCAATACATGTGTGTAGGCGTATTGGACATGGCGCAAAAGGTAACGTTCGTAGAAGAACACTAAGGCGACAGACTTTGTAATCGATCGTTGTTTTTGTACCTTATCTTTATAGATTACTATTTGTAAAATTACTAGCGTTTAAACGGTTTCAAATTGTAATATGTATTTTACTTTTGTAGTATTGTCTAAAGTTGTAAAGTCTGTAAGAATTTATTATTAACAGAAATACCCCTAAAAAACATTATGTTTTATTATTCTTTGATTGCTATTTTCTTATTTGTCTTGTCAATATAAGAAGTAGTACATTCAAGTGTACTGTCGCTCATAAAGCTTAAGTGGTTAATATTAAATTAGAACTTAAAAAAATACAATTACTGAGAATTACTGTTAATCTTTCCTGAATAATAATCAATAATGACGTTCTGCCAATTCTTTTTTGACAAGCAGCGACTGCCTATTCATAATAAATTTATTCCTACATCTGATATAAAAGTCTGTAGATATTAATAATTATAATATAATATATTATAAGTCTGTAAATATTAATAATATTAATAATTAAGTTTGGAAAAATACCAAGAGATAAAGTGTGTATTCTTACTAAACATTAATATAGCTTATGTATTTCACATTGGTAATCATTAATTACTTTATAATTTCAACAGTCCATTTAATAAATGATGTTTTCTAATTTAACTATTTTAAAATTAATAATGTCATTAGTGAATTCATTGAATCAGTATGTCCAATTTATAGCTTTGAAATAAAACAATGGTATATATATAACTTTATTATTAATGTACAGTAAAGCAAAAATTTTTATTATTGTATATTTATTTCAATAATTTTACTCTACAAGGAATGAGAGCTTGAGAAAATACTTATATAAATCAAAATTTTGAAGATCTTTGTTGGCAAGTTTATAATACATTTTCGAAAACAAGAAGCTATTTTTGAGTCAAGACATTAGTATGTTACAAACAATGCTATATTCTATTTATCATAACATATTTTAGAATTTTCATATTTATCGTACTCAATAGCCGTAGATGTCATAAACTGGGTGTTTCCGAAGGGTCAATTAATTAACGCTGAATAACGGTACGCGCGAGGGCCAGATCTAAAGGAAGATTACACGACCTTGTTTAATTATTGTCAAAAGCTGTCTAGCCCTCCATTAAGATATGGTATATCTTAATACGGAATATCTTTAAAGTATGCTAATTGAAAAATCCCAGTATTTTATGAAAACAATTTAATATATACATATTTCTGAATGTCATGCTAGGAATATTTTTAAAAGATCAACTTTAAAGCTTAAATCTACAATGGTCATGAAAGTATTCAAACATTTACCATAGAATAACATATAGAATTTAGAATTATTTTGTACTTGAATTATATAAAATATTCGAATCGATCTTCAATAGTAGCCGTTTGAAAAGAACGGATTTTAAATTTTTTTAAAGTAAATTGAATTCGTACTTCGAAGATCAGAGTCACCGTAACACATTCCATCGTTTGGAATTAATCCATTTGAGACGGTTGCTTAATATTAATTTGATGGGCAATTAGTCATGAGAGAATTACTCACCAGTGTAATTAATTGAGATTTGCAAGTCTAAAAGAGATAATCTATACAGTTTGAATCCCAGTCGCATATAACAACAGTAGTAATTTTTAGAATTATTTCTTCCCTGTGGCTTTTCTTTCAAATGTACATATATCATTATATGTTACAAGCATTTTGGTGCTTTAAAAATGCATATTTATATTTATATTTGATAATTTTCTAATATTTATGATATAAATTTAAAGTTTTCTTTTTTGTATAATATTATATAATATTTCTTATTTGTATTATGTATTATTTGCTTTTTTGTTTTTATAACCTAACACAATCACTCGTTTACTTAAAAACATATTATACTTCAAAATAGACAGAAATTGTTAAATTAATTTTCTCGATATTTTTATACACATTAATGTTCAATTATAACAAATATATTTGTCATTAAAAATATATCATTCTCGAGCAGTAATACAATACAATTACCATAGTAAGAACTACACTTATTATCAAGAAATTTATTGTGTTATTTATTATAATATATTACTAAAATATATTATAAAGAGGTATGTATAAAAATTCGTTTGATGAGTCATTTACGAATTTAGTCAAGTATATAACAAAAATAATATACAGTACGTAACATATTACATTACAATTGTTAATTAAAGAAATTTACATGTTGAGATTAATAAATTTAAAATCACATTTTTTTTATTAAAATAGTGTTGTCGATAGAATTTTTAAAATGGCTTTTACACATCAAAAATTTATATTTTCAGAAAATATAGTCATATTAATCGTGTTAATGTCATATCTTCTGTGCAATATCAATTAATGCGTAGTTAGAATCTGCGATACAGTGCGTGGCTGCAAATTGAAAGTAGGTAATTATACATTCTAAAGTATACTGCTTCAATATCATAATGTAGTTGAATGTGTTACTTTATATTACAATATTATAATCGGAAAAGTTTTGAAATAAATTATTTATGCTATGTGTTCAATTAAATATTAAATGTGTTCAATTAAATAACGTATTTTTTGAAAATCTTCATATTTTGAAACTTTCTTTTTTCTTAAATTATGTTCATGCAAAATATTTTAAAAATTTTGTACCTTTTTTAAATTTACGATAAGATATAATTTAGGTATTTAAATATATGCTTAAAATTTTTTATTTGAATTTAATATCAAAAATAATGTTTAGTTTAAATTGTTTAATCTTTCTAGAAGTGCAAAAGTCTTTTCAAAAATAAATTTTTATATTTAAAAATATATTTAAAAATGATATTGTGTCGAAATATTGATAGTTTCATTGAGTTTTATACAAATTTACAAAATTTATAAAGAAGTCATATTTTGATAAGTTGAGATTAGATTTTTACATTAGTAATATATCAAGGATATGATATATAATTAATTTTTTGTTATTTAATTTGTAAATAAATATTATTAAAGACATATTAAGAATGCCTACATTATCTACAATATATTTGTGACAGATATCATATTAATTATATTGAGACTTTGATGCAATTTGTCGTCTCGAAAGTTTACGTATAGAATAATTTTCAGCTGACTCTAAAATATCGAGTTAAAGTCGAAATCTATATTTAACTTGTGGTTTATTTAAAGCATTACGCGTGTTTCGTTAGATGATCAGCTAATTTTATTGAATTTAGAAAAACAAGTCACATATAGCAAGTCAGAAATAAATGAAAGTGTATTCACGAAACTGAGAAACTAAGTTAGTGAATAAAAATGTTCGAAGAGAATAAGTTTTCTCCAAATATTGTAATTAAACGAATAAAATATATTCAATAGATTAGTCACGTATATATTCATGTCCTTGAATCTGCCCACCTTGAATAGTCCCACACACAACGACAGGATATACGAATAAATGTGTTTCGTGATGTTCCGTTAACAAAAAGAATTTCACGAAACGATAGCCGACTCATGAATTGCAAAGATTGTAAGGTGCAGGGGCACGATGGTGGATGTTTACAGCCCTGAATTATCCAACTTGTATGCGATGATGGTATGGCGCGTACCTCAGTACTCGCGCGTACGCAGAGGCCGTATATGGTAGTGGGCGGTAGAAGCGTGCTGATAGAAGTACGCAAGACCAATACGCGGAATACGCATGCGCGAAACAAATGCTGCGCATGCGTCCAAACTTCAGGAATCTACGGGTAGTTCGCTGCGGCACATGCACGGATAGTGCAGTAGAGCCGAGAATCCCGTAGCGTGTGTTTGTTTTTAATTTCGCGATCTACGATCTAACTTTTTAACCTTAACAGAATCCAACTCGTGAGAGAGGCTCTATTCTCCCTCTTTCTTTCTTTCCTTCTCTCTTTCTTTCTCTTCTCTCTCTCTTTTTCTCTCAGTGTCTAATTTTCCTGCCTTTCCCTTCTCTATCTCTTTTCCCTTTTTCTCCTTCCCCCCTCTTTCTTTCTTTTTCTTTTCCCCTTCTCTCTTCCTCTCCTCTTTTTTCCTTCTCCTTCTCCTTCTCATCCCTCCTTTCTTCTCTGTCTCTTCTGTCTTGTTCTCTCTCTCTCGTACTCCCTCTCCTATCTTCCCTGTTTCT